ATATATATATATATATATATATAATGGTGGCGACAGATCAAATGTTTGGACCATTTTACTATATGTCTACCCTGGCATATTCCAATACTATGATACATGGTATTGGTGTCGCCAACCTTTATAACTTCCTCTCGTTACTTCTTTTTCCATGTTATCTTTTCAGACTTATATTTACCTTTGAGAACTTTGATAAAACTTCAAAATTGTTCATGGAATTATTTCTTATTCGTTAAAAAAAAAAAAAGTATATCATGTTATATATATTTTCCCACGCCTTATTCTCATATATTTATAAAAGTTTACTATTGTGATTAATAAATAATATAATTATTATGATTTTATTAAAAATAATAATCTTATGACAAACATTTAAAGAATTTAGTTAAAAGTGTAAGGTTATTTTATAATATTTTGTTTTTGAGGATATATATTTATCAAAAGGAGATCTTACACACATCTTCATAATAATAAGACATTGTCAACTTTAAATTTAAGCTTTCATAATTTTGCTTTTAATCATCATTTAAAATACATATTATTAATAATATATGTGTGTATTTTATAAACTTTTATTTTTTTTCTTTTATTTTAAGAATATAACAATAAAATACCTTTAATTGAATTGCATGAGAGCTAACATTAAAGTTTGGGGTTGACTTTGTGTGGCACATAATCGTAAATGTTTGCCTACGGGTGCAAGTTAAAAGTAGGAGTGGTTGAAACTTGAAATTAATTAAGTGATAAGCCATTGCATGTAATTGGTGAGGTGAAGATCCTATCAATCTATTCATTTCCAAAGAGCGTTGTGTTACATCAAAGTGTTCTTGTGCACCAAATTGCATGTGACAGATTCTCCACCGAATCACGGGTTAGACTTTCTTTCGTTTGTCCAGTTTTCTTTAAAAACCAATGGCAATGCTACCCTACAAATTAATGGAGTTTTAAACATTGTAATATCCTTATTAATTATAAGAATCTTGAGATATTTACTTTTAAAAATTTAAGCTATCTGAAGAAATTTGTCACAGAACTATAATAGAAAAGCTGTTTATTCAAAATGATATGCATATTCATTTTCGATTATTAAATTCTAGTTCACTCGTTTAAAAACTTCAAATTAATATAGTTTTTGTTATCTTGATTGATGAAATATTTTCATAATATATTTTTCTAAAACAACTCATCGCAGCATTTAATTATTCGACCTCTGAAATATGTTTTTTTTGACTTCTGCATTTTCTTAAAATTCCATTACTAGCTGATGTTAGGCAACATACACGAATCCACGTGCATACATAATTAAATAAATAAATAGTAAAGTAAGTAACCAACCATCTAGCATTTCTCACGACTTAGGTTATGCTTGGGTTAATTAAGATTTTTTCCTTTTGGGTACATAGTTTAGAATTTGATTTTTATACACTAACTTTGTAAAAAAAAAAATTATGTTGTGTTATTCAATTACATATTATTGTAAATGATAAATTTGTTTACTTAATCTTTAAGTTAATATAATAAGTGAAAATCATTGGGTTTTGTTATAAGAATTTGATTAAAGAAGGGTAGAAAAGTTTATCTTGGTTGGATTTTTTCTTCTTCTTATATGTCTTTAATCTTTTAAATTTAAAGTAAATTTATTTTTTATTCTTCAAACTTAAAGTTGTTATTTTTAGTCTTTGTAAACTTTCAAAGTTTTTGTTTTAATCTTTCAAATTACTAATAACATATTGAAAGTGACAGATTGAGATAATTATGTAGTATTAATTATATTTAATGTGACATTTTTACTAACATAAACACTAATAAATAGATTTTTATGCAATAGTATTATCCAGATTTCTTAATAAAATTTGAATATAAAGATTAAAATAAAATATTTTGAATTACATGAACTAAAAATATCAATTTTAAATTTAACAAATTAAAGGTAAATTCTTTTTAAATTTGAGAGACTAAAAATATATTTAAACATTTTTTTTAAAATTATTACACTGATGATAGCTAGATTAAGTGAGAGATTTTCTCATTGTCTTAAATTACCCTAATTTTTTTAGGGTGACAATTAGTTAAGTTTCTTTATTTCTACTAATTAGGATTTGAGATCATATGTAACTTTTTTTGTATTTTATATCTTTCCATGCTAAATTATACCGGAATGAAGTAGACGATATGTAACCTTACTAAATATTTTCGAAGAATTTAGTAATTGATTTTAACTTTATATAAGGTTGTGCTAAACTTTTTTAATAAGAAAAATAAAAATTGCCATATTTAAGTAGACTAGTGACTATATTTCCAACCCCCAAAAAGAATAGTAATAATGGTGACATAAAACTCTGGAGAGGTGGAAATAGAACAACAACAACAGGTGTATTTATGCGATTTAGTGTCGGGTCATAGTAGGAAACTCAAGTAGCAGAGTTCTTGGAAGTGGATGAAAAAGTGAACCATACTGGGAGAGAAAGGTTCCAGAGTTGCTGAAGTGCCCTTGTGTCACTGTGTCCCAACTCCCAAGGATACAATTGCATCAACGTACGTAGGTAGGTAGAGGTTGCAAACGGGTCACTCTTCTCCACCCACCTAAAGTAGGATAGGCCAGACACGTTGTTTTCTTAATAAATTCACATAGTCCCACGTGTAATTAATTCACAGTAAAAAAAAATTTACACCACCATTACATGCATATTAAACTTTTTAAAATAATATCTTCATCTATTAGCGCCTCACCTAAATACTTAAATGGACTGATAATTATATTCTAATTCTATTTATTAAGATATTTTAATCAAAAGTATTTATATTATCATAATAATTTGTGTGATTAATATTTAAGACAAATAATATGAGGACTGAGGTGGGATGAGTAGTTGAGAAAACAGCAGAAATTTTTGAATAGGAAGTGATCCACATAAATTCATGGGGAAATTCTACAGTTCAGGAATTGTGCAATTTGGTGACAGGCTGTTGCTTGTCTGAGCGTGAGACCTGGTGTTTCTGCTACGATAGAGCCGAAAAGGCTTTTGATTCTTTGAGCAAAACCAGTAACTACAAAATTGGGCTAGGGTTTCTTTTTTTGTTAGTAAAATGATAAACACACTTTCACTCTCGTATAAACACACCCCTTTTTTAAAAAATATATATATAATGTTTAAAGTACCCTTTTAAAAAAAATGAAATTCCTAAATTTACACCTCCCTTCCCCGCACCTCCTTTCCCTGCATCCCACACTCCACACACCCTCTTCTTTCCAAAGTCTCTTTCCGCTCAATGTCATTAAGCAATATACTTTTACAGTCATTCTGAATAGAAAAAAAGGACTAGCCCCACCATAACCAGCATAAGAAAGGTTCTTTTACAGTTATTAGCATTCCGGAAAGTACTTTTACAGTCATTAGCATTCCGGAAAGTACTTTCTGGAATAGTAAAATTATTGTTCATATAATTCCGGAAAGAACTTTCTGTAATAGTAATTTTAATATTATGGAAAGTACTTTCCGAAATTATGTAACAAAACATTTCCGGAAAATACTTTCCGGAATAAGAATTTAATATTATGAAAAGTATTTTCTGGAACATTTTTATATAACTCCGGAAAAGAACTTTTCGTAACAATAAGAAGAAGAAGAAGAGGAGTGTCAGAAAGAGAAAGAAGAGGGGTGCGCAATGTCAGCAGCTGGTCTTGTAAGAGAAAGACTCTTACTTATTCTATGGAAAGACACACTTGTACAAAAATGACTTTTAAAATCGGAGTTTTAAAATCAGTCATAAGATAGATATTTTAAAAGTGACGCGGTGGCCTGTACTGCAACAGAACGGCCCCAAAATGGCCCGTTCTGCTATACTCCTTTCAGTACGGCCCGTACTGCAAGCAGAACGGCCTGTACTGATTGCAGAACGGGACGTACTGCAATCAGAACGGGCCGTTCTTCTTGCAGAACGGCCCGTTCTGGTGCCATTCTGGTGCGGGGAAGGAGGTGCGGGAAAGGGAGGTGTAAATTTAGGAATTTCATTTTTTTTTAAAAAGGATAATTTAGACATTTTATATATTTTTTTTAATAAAGAGGATGTGTTTATACGAGAATGGAGGTGTGTTTATCATCTGCTTTTTGTTAAGGAATATATCTTTTCACCTACTTTTGTTAACAAAGACATATAAAAGATCACCGGCTTGGCCCAAAATTTATCAAACCAGTCTGTTCAGTAGTCCAAATACCAACATTGATGAATGCCTGTGTCTTGACCATGTGAGATTCGAATGCAAAAATAAAATATGATCCTTTCAAATTATTTATAATACTCGCATTAGGTTTATATATAAATAAAAAAAAAACCTAAATTTTTAATTTAAGTAAATTCTAATTAACTTGATTCTATTTAATACTATCATTTCAAAAATACTTATTAAATTAAATGTGATTATTATTTTCAATCAATATTATTAAGGGTAGTTTAGAAAGTAAAGTTTATTTTTTTATGAAATTAATAAGATTAAAGGAACTTAACTAATTTTTTAATATGTATAAATTTAAGTATTTTTTTTAGTCTCGATAAGGAGTATACTATGAAAACCCCTTATTATTTTCAAGAGAAAAGATTTTTTTTTTTATAATTATGTTATTGAGATAACTTATTTATTAGTTTTTTAAAAAATCTGACTTTTAGGAGATTCCCTTTTTCTAATTAAATTTTTTCCCCTCTACAAAAATTCAAACCCAGAACTTGCTAAAAGAAATCGAATCATACATACTAGAGAGAGACTTTAACAGACACGTTTAGAAACGTTAAACATATTACCACTGTTGTTGAAGATGACATTTAGAAGTGGTATTAAAATGTACATAATTTTGTGGTTGCTTGAACCTTGTACTCATCATGACATGACACATAATTTCAGATAGATGAATCAGAAGACAACGTTTCATGGAAAGCAATTGGATACTGTGGACCCGACCCAGAATTCAAAGCTCAGTTGAATTACCACTTTTTGCATGGAACATCTAAAGCAGAACAAGAGGACAAGGAAGATGAACATGCTGCAGAGGTGATAGGACCCCTTTACAAGGGTCTAGTCCTTCTGAATTACCCACGAGACATCACTGCAGATGCCCTAAGACGATTCGGATTCCCTGTCTCTGTCAATCGAAGAAAGCACAAAGCTGTTCCAAACTTGTCATCTCCTTCTATGGTGATACAATGTGATGCAGTGGTAGTTGGTTCTGGCTCAGGAGGTGGTGTCATAGCTGGTGTTCTAGCAAAGGCTGGTTACAAAGTGTTGGTGTTGGAGAAAGGAGGATATTCCGCTAGGAACAATCTTTCCCTCCTTGAAGGACCAACCATGGAACAAATGTACCTCAATGGTGGCATGGTTGCGAGTGATGACATGGGTATGTTCATTCTCTCAGGGTCCACTGTTGGTGGAGGGTCAGCAATCAACTGGTCTGCATGCATCAAGACCCCTCAGCATGTGTGCAAGGAGTGGTGTGACAAACACGGTCTAGAGTTATTTGAGAGTAAGTTGTATAGAGAAGCCTTGGATGCTGTGTGTGAGAAGATGAAGGTTCAATCTGAGATTGAAGATGAAGGATTCAACAATGCAATTTTGAGGAGAGGGTGTGAGGAAATGGGGTATCCTGTTAGCAACATTCCTAGGAATTCTCCATCAGATCACTACTGTGGCTGGTGTTGCATGGGGTGTAAGGATGGGAGGAAGAAGGGTACATCAGAGACATGGTTGGTGGAGTTGGTGAAATCTGGCAATGGAGCAATTCTTCCAGGGTGTGAGGCAATTAAAGTTTTGCACAAGAAAAAGGAAGGGAGGGATAGAAAGATTGCATGTGGAGTGGCTTTTGAGTTTCAACATAAAGGAAGTAGAGACATTTGTGTGGTGGAGTCCAAGGTCACAATTGTAGCATGTGGAACACTTAGTACTCCAGCATTGCTCAAAAGAAGTGGCTTAAGGAATAAGAACATAGGGAGGCACTTGCATCTTCATCCAGTGACAATGGCTTGGGGCTACTTCCCAAATGCAGGTAGATGCTGATAGGTTGTTTTGTATGTTTGTGTTTTGTAGGGATATTTGTTAAGAGGAACATGGTTTTTTTTGTATACTGAAATTCACACACGTCTCTACATTAGTATGATTCTGTCTATTTTGGATGTAAACTCATAAATTTATTTTTGGTTATTATCCAAAACGTCTCATACTAATAGAGACTTTATATGTGTTTATAAACTCGTGTTCCTTCTTTTGTTCTAATAATGTGAAACTTTATTTGTATTTGAACAGGTAGTGCATCCGAGGTGTGGCCAGAGGCATATAAGAAGAGCTATGAAGGAGGGATAATGACAGCAATGTCTACTGTTGTTGCAGAGTTTGAACAATCTGGATATGGTGCTGTGATCCAAACACCTGCATTGCATCCTGGTATGTTCTCAGTTGTCACGCCATGGACTTCCGGAACTGATATAAGAGATAGAATGCGGAAGTTTCCTAGAACAGCTCATATATTTGCGCTGGCAAGGGACCAAGGATCAGGGACAGTGGAATCGCCAAACCGAATCAGTTATCAGATGGCAAATGCAGATGAAGAGAGTTTAAAGAAGGGAATTGAGAAGGTGCTGAGAATTCTGGCAGCAGCTGGAGCTGAAGAAATAGGGACACATCATAATAAGGGAAGGACCTTAAATGTGAAGCAAGTGAGCTATAATGAATTTGAGAAATTTGTTAAGGAGGAAAGTTCAAGGCCATTGAGAGATCTTTCAACACCATTGTGTTCAGCACATCAGATGGGGAGTTGCAGGATGGGTTGTAATGCCAAGCAATCAGTGGTGAATCAAACAGGAGAGACCTGGGAAGTGGAGGGCCTTTATGTGGCAGATGCAAGTGTTTTCCCCACAGCTTTGGGGGTGAATCCAATGGTTACTGTTCAAGCTATTGCTTATTGCACAGCACAGTCTGTTGTTGAAGTTCTTAGAAGGAAAAGAAGCAAATGAGACAATGAAAAGAAAAAAAAATCTTGTGCTGCTTTTGTAGCTCCAATGATACTGAATATTCATAGCATTGGACAGAAAACCTTGTTGAAATGAAATAATTGTTCGGTGAGAAAAGCAATGGTTGAAATTTTAACAACCTCTGTTTTTATATCTTGTGAGAAAAGCAATGGTTATTACTGTATTTTATTCTGTAAATTACATTCCACATTTTAGAAGAGTCAAATCCTTTTAAGAGAGCGGTT